TAAAAAAGATCTCCATTTCATTTTAGAATATATTGTTCCTTGCAGAAAGACTCATTGTTTTTGCTACTAATACTGAGATGTTGGCGCATGCAACTCTAATTTGTATGTATCTGATTATTACTAGCCATAATTGGTTGCACTTGGATCCTTGGTGCCTGTGTATGTCTATAAAGTCATCGGGAAAAATATCTTTTAGGCCAGCCACAGATAAGTAATATAGGAAATTAAGAGTCATGTCTTGACTTCAGACCTTGGATTAAAGGGGAAGGTGCTGCCTCTTTGAGGTGGGTGGTCTTCATGAGCAACTCCCCCAAGCACCGTGTGGTATGGTACCAACCTTGGAGACTCTGGAACCTCTTGTTAGTTTAGTAAAATGCTGTGGGTTTTTTTTTTAATATTTTTTATTGTAAACTTACTTAACATTTGTGGAGCTAAAACAAATGATTCAGTTAGCTGATGGAGAAATGAAATAATTATTTGCATGAATTTGGAGCAATTTATTCATAATTCTTTATCATTATACTTTTGGATCTTTCTTGTAGATTTAGAACATTTGCTGATTTAGTGGACTTGACATTTGTTAATATTTGTTTGTAAAATTTAGTGGACTTGACATTTGTTAATTATTATAAGCCCTGAACAATAAGAAATTGGGTTGGAAGGAATTGCATACAGACTCAGAAACATAATTTATAGATGCCTTGTGCTAGACACCTAAGTCTCATTTCTTTGAATCTTTCCTCTGTAATAGTTGATGCTCATCTGAAAGTCCCAATGCTTGAAAAAAATGAAGTTAGTGGTGAATTAATATAACTATCTTTGTGTCCCATAGTACAGAAACTTACTGCAAGATTAGGCAAGTACTGATTGACAATTTGCCTTTTTTGCAAAATTTTTTTAGTGAAGGCACCTAGTAGATTTAAGTGCTGGTTCCAACTCTGCTCTTTCAGTTGGAATGCCGTGACAGTGTGACTTCTGACATCAGCACCATGGAATGGGACAGTGCTCTTCAAGTCTCTAGAGCATGTTCCATACTCAACCTCAAATGAGCATTCTGTGGCACAGAGAGCTGTGCAGTGTCCATCTACCCACACCCAGCTTACATTTTCCGATGTGTATTCGAATCTTTTCAGATATTGTGCCCATGATGCTTTGTTACTTTCACCCTCTTCCTTTACTGTCAGAAAAAAAAAAATTATGTTGTCTGTTGTACAAATAGTCTTCTCAGGCTACAAATGCATCTTTTCAGCATTTGTCACAGGAGGTAAGGGATTATGTAGCTCCCAAGTGGGGAAGTAAATGCTTGTAGGCAACTTCAGTCAATTGGAAGCAATCCCTAAAGTTTATGCTTAAAAGGGAAATAGACTTTTGTCAAAAACAGATCTCTATGTCTTTATTATTTAAAAATATGCTCACTATATGAGCTACCACACATTAAGTGACTCAGGCTTGATCTGCTGTTAGGCTTGAAGCTCTGTCCTCCATCATGTGTTTCTTACTTGGCTTTTGTTTTGTAGGTAGCTGACTGTTCCTGGGATGAGACGATAAAGATATATGATCCTGCTTCTCTTGCAATTCCTGGTTAAGATGCCTGCTCTGTTCAGAAACAAGGATTTTGACTGATGAGCCACTTAACAGCAAAAAAATTTACTATTCAAAGCTTAGACGTTAGGCTTTTATATGCTATTTAGATTTCAAAAATTCCAAAGGTACTTTGAAATTAGTTTTAAGGCAGCTGATCAAGACTTTGAATCATATCATAAGCCTGGTCCATAAGCCATATTTCCTAAAATCCTAAGGAATAATTGATGTTATGATATATCATATAAAGTCTATTAAAATATTTTCTATGTATTGTAAAATGGACTAAAATATGGGAGGTCAGCAGTTTACATGGATAGTAATATATTTCATTTTTAATTTGTCATTTTGATGTAAAATATAATCACCACTATTGATAAAAATAAAAATTAACTGCATTTCTTGATCATGTATCATTTTATGATATTCCAACAAGACTGCTTTTTAAAAACTATATATGAATGTAATATATTTAATGAAGATATAGGTATCATTTATATATGGTCTCTAATACAGATTTAAATTATTCAGTAGTTATGTATCAAACATGCAGTGTGTACCTAACGTATACACTGAATGAAATTATCTCAAGGACTCACACTAGGCTTTAAGATTATGGCATAGTGTGAATTAACAGCTTATTTTGTTTATACAAAACCTTTTATATATATATATATATTTATGACTATATTTTTCTCTCACTTCTTCACCACCCAAATTACTCAGACATGATGGCATGTACCCATAATCCTAGCACTTGGGAGGCAGAGGCAGGAGGATTGCAAGTTTGAGGCCAGCTGGGCTACCTAGTGAGATCCTGTCCCTCCCCACACAAGTGTCAGAGCTCCTTCCAGGGCTTCTAACTATTGCCCTCAAAAGCAGCTTTAAATAACACTAAAAATTGTACTCTTTGCTACTGCCCTTAATCTCCTTGAAAAATTTGTAGTGACTAAAAAAGAAAGGTTAAAGGGGAAAAATTAGTAAAACAAAATGCTTTCCAGAGCACTTAAGTTTTTATATATCTAGCATGCTATAAATGGCATAACTTTTAAGTTTTTGAGAATTCAAAAAGATTTATTTATTTTGTTGGGGCAGGTCTGGTACCACTGTGTACATATAGAAGTTGGAGAACAACTTGAAGGAGTCAGTTCTCTCCTGCCATGTTGATCAGGGAAGTGAATCCAAGTAGTCAGACTTGGTGGCAAGTGCCTTTACCTGCTGAGCCATCTTGCTGACCCTTAAGTTCTTGAGAATTTTCTAAAAGATTTTATCTGTGTGAATATTTGCTTCCATGTATGTATATATACCACATATGTACCTGGTGCCTACAGAAGCCAGAAGAGGGTGTTAGATCCCCTGAACTGGAGTTCTAAATGGTTGTGAGTCATCATTTCAGTGCTGGGAACTGAACCCAGGTCCTCTGTAAGAGCAGCAAGTGCTTTCAACTGCTGAGCTGTTTCTCCAGCCCCCAATTTTTAGGAATCTTTAAAGAAAGAAGTATGTTTGGAATAATCCCAAGCATAGGTTACCTATTTTTGAGTATTTGGTCAGTGGGGTTCTACAGACTCCCCTCCCTGCCAAACATTAAGAGCTATTGTGGTTACTCTTGATGACCCTCAAGAGCTTGATGGTAAATTCCTATTATTGAAGACACTACCACCACATACTTGAGTAATAGGACATGGAGAAATCAAACTGGCACTGACCTTAAAACTTCATCCCCACTAGATGGTTTTCACAGTGCTGGAAAGTTGTACCAGGAGAGAAAAATATTCAACAGTCTTACCCAGCTGTGAACCTTATAAACTACAATAATGATTGGCCCAGCAAGATAGGCCACTGGTAAAATAATGGCATGAATGTCACAGGAATAACTTAATACTTACTGATTGAATTTAAAGTTTGCACCACAAGTTGGAACTCATGCCTGATAGAGTTTACTAGGCCAAAACATTCATGACTGGCTAGCTCATATGCCTCAGGGAACTTAGTACTACTATTCTGATAAATGGACATAGTATTAAACTGCCCCTTAAGTTCCTATCTTTTAACTAATAGACCTCAACTTCCATCAGAAATTCTTCTTTTTGCAGTAGATGGTGATTCATACAGAGATTCACAACTGGTCAGTGTGCAGAGAGACTATGGAGTGCACAGCTCTAAATGGAATGTCTATATCATACTCCCTTCCCCCCAAGGCACAGTGATCATTGAAGAAGAGGGGGAGAAGAAAGGTTGTAAGAGCCTGAAGTAGTGGATGCCTGCAGCAAAACTTTATTTGCTGGACATGACAGGGCCATTGTACATATGGACTTACAGTAGCTATGACTGCATGCACAAGACCTGCACAAGATCAAGCCAGTCAAAATCCCAGCGAGGGTAGAGGAAGGGCTCATGAAGCCCCACTTCTGCTGAGAAGCCATTAGCCATTGATGACTACTCTAGAAAGGAGACTATATTTTCTTCAGGGGTGTAGCACCTGAGAGGCTGCATGCTCCAGTAGATGGCCCTACACCTATGCATGTACAGACAGCACTAAGTGGACTCGGTGTGGGACAGTGGGGAGAGGACATGAACTTGGGAGGGAAAATGGTGGGGGATGGGGAGGAATTGGAGGGCAGGAAAGGGGGACCAGATTTCATCAAAAAATATTATATGCATGTTTGAAATTCTCAAAAATAATTTCAAAAGAACAAGATAAAATAACCAGAGGAAAAATAGATTCAAATATATGTATATTGTCTGATATATTTCTTTAACTGTTTCCAGAAAAAATGAAATGGAGACAACTTAAGATACAAAAACAAAATAGCATAAATTAAAAAGTAGAGCAAGGGGGGGTCTGGAGAGGTGGTTCACTGGTTAAGAGCACTGGCTGCTCTTACAGAGGACCCAGGTTTGGTTACCAGCACCCACAGGGTGGCTAACAACTGTTGAGTCCTTAATGCCAGTTCCAGGGGATCTGAGACCCTCTTCTGGCCCCTGTGGACACTGGATGACTGAGGTGCACTTACATATGTATACACATAAAATAAATCAAAAAGTCATTTTAAGAAGTGGAACAAAAATGTGGAGCCAGAGTAGGGCTCAAAAATGTATACCCCAGAGTTCTATAAAGTTGCTACTGACTGGATCAAAGATTTTCTACTATGGTTTCCAGCTTCATAAATAGCAAACATGATCAGTTTTGAAATTTAGTGTCAGTGGTCTGAGGACCTGAACTCTTAACAACAGGCCTGGCACATAGAAAATGCCCAAAAAATATTTGTTAAAGGAGCAGATCATCTTGGAAAGCACAGGTCTTTTCTTGGTTCCAAGATCAACGATACTAGTTCCTTTTGAAGTGGACACTGTTTAACACAAGTGGATTGTAATGAACAGGATGCTCAATCACTTCCTCACAGCTATGACTGGTGAGTTCCATATCGCTTTTCCTTGTTGCTTCCCTCCACATGGGCTAATGACATCACACCAATAAAAGTGGGTCCACAGTGGGAATAGAATTTATAATAGACCTCATATTTACAATGAAGTGAAATTTTTCTTTCCTTTTGAATATGATAGACTATAATAAATAATATACCATGTATATTTTTTGAAACAAAAAAAACCCTTGTGATTTAAAAAATAACACCTTTCCCTCTGTTGATCTATGGGCTACTGATGGATTATGGGGTACAGATGGCCAGTCATTGTCCTCAGTGCTATACCCACTGAGGAGCCTACCAGGCTCCAGCAGATAGTTCCAAACCTCTGGTCACACAGATAAGACTGGTTAAAAAACTCAGTGGGGTCTCAAAAAAAAAAAAAAAAAAAAAAAAAAAAAAGTCATGAATGTGGGAAGAGAGGAAAGGGATTATAGAGGTAGAGGGGAGAATCATAATGCATCTTACACATGTATGAAATTGTCAAGGAACAAACTCAATAAAAGTTTTTAAAAATCTTGCCAGGTGTGATGATACATGCCTATAATCCCAGCACTTAGGAGGCAGAGGCAAGATGACCACAGCCTGGGCTACATAGTGAGTTTGAGATCCTGTTTCAAAAAAAAACAGAAACAAAACCTCTCAACAACACCACTCCATAACATCTTCTTTGATTCATTTCCCTGTATTTCAGGAATGTGAGAGATGTTTAGGATGCTGATTTCATGATACATAACTCACGTTCTTAAGAGTCTCTCATGATGAAAGAATGCTATCCATTTGGTTCTGGAGCCTATATTGGAAAACTAAAAGAAGGAGCTAGAGGCTCCTCTAAAAGACAAGGGACATGAATTCTTAATAGTTTATGAACTCAGTAGCTTCTGGATAAGAAGTCCTTCCTGGAGAAAGCCAGCGTTGGTCTGGTTACCTGCTCTTAGCATTCATCCTGTCTGTCTCCTGAGCTGTCTACTGGTACAGTGACAGGACATTGTAAAGGAGTGGATGACCCATCAACAATCAAGGTATTGTGTGACATGCTTTGTGTGTGTGAGTACGCTGTCCTTTTCAATCTTTATAACCTGCCTACCTGGAGGCCCTTCCAGTTTTCCTGACAAGGAAGTTGTGGTGGTTTGAATAAGAAATGTCTCTCACAGGCTTAAGTATCTGAACAACTTGGTCTTTCTATTTTGGGGGCACTGTTTGGGGAACTTTAGGAGGTGTGCCCTTGCTGGAGGAAGTATGTGACCAAGGCTGGATTTTGAGAGTTCATAGCCTGGCCCCATTTCCAGCTAGTGCTCTCTCTCCCTCTCCTCTCCTTCTCTCTCTCCTACCTCCTCTGCTTGTATTTGTATTGAAGGTATGAACTTTCAACTTTCGGATCCTGCCTTCCCTGCCATGATGGACTGGGGAGACAGGCTGGCTGGCCAGTGAGCCTCAGGGATCCATCTGGGGAGGTCTCTGCCTCCCCAGTGCTCAGAACAAGTACACACCATCACATCTGAACAAACTTGGGTCCTCATGATTATATGGAAAGCATTTTACCAACTGAGCTATCTCCCCAGCCCCAACATCTAAAATTTATAAAGAACTCTTAAAAGTCACTAGACAGGGGCTGGAGAGATAGCTCAGTAGTTTAAAATGTTTCCTGGCTCTTCTAGGGGACCAGAGTTTTTTTCCCAGCACCCATATTGTATGACTCACAACAGCCTGTAACTCCAGCTTCAAGGGGTCTGACACCCTCTTCTAGACTCTGTGGGTACCCACACTCACATGTGCACATACATACACAGAGTTTTAAAATAAAAATGAATTCTTGAAAAGAAAAAAAATGTTGGACAGCTCCTGAAGAACATCCAAGATTTAACTCTGGGGTACACACACACACACACACACACACACACACACACACACACACAATTCTGACATGGGGAAATATATTAGTAGTAGTAGATATATTCATTATGTATTTCAGTGTACTAAATTGCCTCAAAACTTAGTAGTTAAGAGCCACATTTATTGTCTTACAGTTCAAGTAGGACTGGAATCAAATGACTTAGTAGCTGATTTGTTCAGTCTGAGGTTTTCTCATGACATTCAGATAAGCTGTCACCTATGGTTGCAGGATCAGCTTCCCAAGTCATTTACATGATTACTAGCAGGCCTCAGTTATTCACCATGTGGACTCCCCATAGGCTATCTGAGGTGTCTTGGCAATGATAGAGAAAATCCAAGATTGAAGCCTCTGTATTTTATAACTGAATCTCAAGACATACTCACTTCTGCCATATTCTTTTGATCGCAAAGGCCAACAAGGTACAATGAAGAAGTTAACAAGGGTGTGAATAAGGAAACAGCTCATCATTGAGAATGGGACTACCTTGAAAGCTGATTACCACAATATCCTTTTTTTAATGTTTATTTAGTTTAGTTTATGTGTATGAGTGTATTGCCTGTATGTAAAGGGTGACAAATCTCCTGGAACTGGAGTTATGGATGGTTGTTAACCACGATGTGGATGATGGGAATCGAACCTGGAACCTCTGGAAGAACAGCAAGTGCTCTTAACTGCTGAGCCATCTCTCCAGCCCCACAATATGCTTTTTAAAATAGCAAATTGTAGATGCATATAAATGAGCTTCTAATCTGACTTTTTAAAGAGGGAGTTTGTGTATAAATACAGGTACAGAAGACAGAGGGCAACCAACAGTGAGCAGTGGGGTGGGAGACAGTACACACTGAGGATAGCACTTCCCTGTTATTTATAGTTTGTTTTCCTAATACATACTAGAAGGAATGAGTGTGTGCTACTTTTGCAAATGAATATAATAAAGTAAAAACTTTTTAAAGATCATACTTCTTTTTCTAGAAAGCTATCTCTGCTACCTGTCAATCTGATATAATTGCCTTCCTGGGTGCTCCGTTTCCTGCTGCAAGACTTGACTGCTGCATTAGCTTCTTGGTGCTGCCTCACCCCCAGCTGCGACTCCCCAAGGACCAGCTGAGTGCTCACTCTTGCATCCCCTGCCCAGCAGGCTACCTAGTATAGAATACTTGCCCTCTATGTTTGTTGAATGAATGCACTACAAGATTGATTTTATGCCATTAATATTTATTGAGTACCTATAAAGATAAAGAGCTTATGTCTAGACCTTTGATAGCTTAGTTCCAATTGGTCAAGTGTTTTTTGACCTCAGATCCAAATTGTGGTTCAACTAAGCTTGAAGAATATTTATCTTTTCTCAGTTTTCTTTAGGAACTTATTTAATAGCTAGTTTTGTGGAAGATGGGGTTAAAATTTTAAAGTTCCACTAAATATGTATATAATACAGTGGAGAAAATGTACTGTTGAATACCACTGTAGGTTTCAAATATTAAGCGTAATAGCCTTGCCTAAACGAGAAGGGTAAGGCAGCTGACTCAGTCCCAATCTCCCACCTAATGTTAGTATCACAAATGGAAGCAATTACAATTGCTGGCAGAAATGAATCATTCCAGAACTAGGTCTGTGCAGCCACTTCTTTGCAATATTAGGATGTATCCAGCATCAGCCCTTTAATTGGAATGGTCCCTAGAACCAAATCTATTTCCCAAAATCTTTAATACAGTTTTGGTCTCTGTATATTTTGAATATGCACTTAACATACACATGAATGTAATTTGAACAACTGCTTCAGACTTCATTATTTCCTAAACTCTTGAAAACCGGAGTATCTTAAATAGGCAATAGTGTGTAACCACAGCCTTCTACAGTAGAAACCAAGAGCTCCCAGGGGAACCCGAAGCATGAGCTTTCAGTGCAGTGCTGTCCAGCGTTATTCCTGGAAAGTTAGCACGATGGGCCATTCATACTTTCCTGAGTGCCCACCTGTCGAGGACTGGCAAGTGGCTGTACTAGGCACTGGGCGCATGAGATGGGGCACGCTCTCCCTACTGACCACCCACAACAGAAAGCTGACCCGGATGAAGAACTGCAGTGAGGCTAGAATTCTGCTCTAGTTTTTTGTTTTTTTCCTACTGCACTGTTAATAATCACAGTTTCAAATCTCTACTGGACTATCGTGTTCTACACAGAAGTGTAAAAATCATGCAGAAATTAGAATTGAGAGAGAAATGGATCTCTTGTGTGTGGCGAAGTGGTGCAGTGCTTAAAGGATTGGAGTTTGGGATCACGGTGGCTAAGAAACCTCAGTTTGTGAACTGGACTGAGCTTAGTGATCCTAAACTCTCCCCTCCGCACCCAAAGCCTGGCCCGGGCCACAGAATTCAAGTGGCAACACAGCCCGACTCCTGCCAGCGCTTAACGATGACCTCCGCCTAAGCGAGCAGTTCTGCTCCAGCAGGGTTCCTGGCGGGTCGGGGCATCACTTCCCGGGGAAGTGAATTCAGATAAAAGCCTCACTGAAGTCTTGGGCCTGACGCAAAAAGAAAAAAGAATTCCCTTTTCTCTCAGTCACAGGGAAACATTCACGTTTCACAAGTACAGTGAGCCAAAGGTGTATTCTTTGGCAGGGGATGATGGCACCCACATCACCATAGTCCTGCTCCCCAAAGAGGCCGGAGACCGTCTCTGTAGACAAGGACTGGTTCCCTGGGACTCAAGAACTCCACACGGGGGTGGGGGAGTTCCGTAGTTCCGGCCCCCACCCTCCCGATTCTCCCCTCCCCCTATCCACCCGCACACCTGGCTCCGCCTCTCGCACCGCTGGGGCAGCGTCTCTCTTCACGCTCTTCCTTTGCCGGTAGTTGTCTACTGCCCCATAGAATTAGTTTCTGCGCTTGGGCTTGTTTTACCTCTTAGCCTCAGTTAAATGTGTTCCTCCACCCCCATGATCCGCTGGCCTGAGTCGCCACCCTCCATGCGGAAGCTCCCCCAGAGTCACCCATGATGCCAGGACCCTCTCCCGGAGGCTCGCAGACACTAGTGAGCATCGCCTGGCACCAGAACAGGACAGCCTGGGCGCCCCAGAGCACGCCCGCGCAGAGGGTGCTTTCAAGGCCCTGGGATCCTGACAGTCCGGGGCCCCGCCGCCCTCCGGCACAGACGGGTCTTGCTCCCCAGCTGTGCTGGGAGAGGCCGTGGGTGGAAAATCCGCTGCTACGCTCCGGGCGCCGTCACTTGTTGCGACCAGTGAACGGTGCTCAATCCTGAGCGCTGTTGTTTCTAACATCGTCTCCAGCGGTGCTGGGGATCCCCTAGTCCGCACCCCACCGCTGGGTCGCTGCGGGAAGGGAGGAGCTGCAGCACGGGGAGTGCCCTCAAGGGTGGGCGCTGAATGCCCGAGGGGCTCAGGCTCATCCCGCCCTGCCGCAGTCGCCAGCCAGTCCAGCTGCCAGCCCGCACTCCGCAGAGCGTCTTCCCGGACCGCGAAACCGCGCGGCACGCACCCCAGAGCCGCTCTTCCCCCTCTTCCAAGTCGCTGTCGCTAGGATTCCCGCCATTCCTCTCAGACCGCCCCCCCCCCCCCCGCCACCTTTTCGGGGCCCCCCCCCCCCCCCCCCGCCCCTTTTCGGAGTCCCCCGCCCCCGCCTCTGCCTCCCCAGAGCTGCGGGGCAGTCGGAAGCGGAGCCGCCGAGCCGCGAGGACGCCGGGCTGGAGCTGCCCTCCGCAGCTGAGCCCGCGTTCCCTGCCGGCGCCCCCGCCGCCCTCGCTCCGCGCCTCTCCCGGGCCCCCCGCAGGTCCCTGAGCTCCGCCACCGCGGGGTGCTGCGGGGCCAGCGCTATGCGGCAGCTGTGCCGGGGCCGCGTGCTGGGCATCTCGGTGGCCATTGCGCACGGGGTCTTCTCCGGCTCTCTCAACATCCTGCTCAAGTTCCTCATCAGCCGCTACCAGTTTTCCTTCCTGACCCTGGTGCAGTGCCTGACCAGCTCCACCGCGGCGCTGAGCCTGGAGCTGCTGCGGCGCCTCGGGCTCATCGCTGTGCCCCCCTTCGGCCTGAGCCTGGCGCGCTCGTTCGCAGGGGTCGCGGTGCTCTCCACTCTGCAGTCCAGCCTCACGCTCTGGTCGCTGCGGGGCCTCAGCCTGCCCATGTACGTGGTCTTCAAGCGCTGCCTGCCCCTGGTCACCATGCTCATCGGCGTGCTGGTGCTCAAGAACGGCGCGCCCTCGCCTGGGGTGCTGGCCGCCGTGCTCATCACCACCTGCGGCGCCGCCCTGGCAGGTGAGACACCCGCGACCGACCCCAGTCCACCCCACCCCACCGCGCAGAGACCCCGGGGACCACTCGGTACCACCGCCTCACTTCCAGATGGGGAGACTGAGGCAGAGAGAGGCGGAGTGTTGAGAGTGGTCCTAGAGCTCACAAAAGGGACTTCCCCCGGAGACCCAGCGGAGCCTCCCCAGTGCTAACGCCTCCCTCCTCCATCAGCCCTCCCCCTCCTCGGGTGTCCTGGCTTCCGCCCCCCGCCCGGTTTCTCCCGCGTGTAGCCCCCTTCCCGTCACCACCCGTGCTCGGGTCTTCCTTGCTCAGTGAGAGAACCGCATGAGCCAAGAGCTGGAGTCCAGCCCCGGGCTGAGCCGGAAGGAAGGGGGCCGTGAACTTCCTCGTATCACTAGGGGCTGGGACCCGGGAGCGATGGGAGGGAAGCCTGGGCTCCACCGGGTTCAAGTTTGGGGGGCTGCGGTGCCACGCAGAGACGGCCGGCCTGGGACTCAGGTGCCGGGGCTTATCTGAGGGGAGCGGGAAACCCTCATTCCCGGGCTTTGCGGTTGTGGGGGGCTGGGGGGGACCGTCGGCAAGCGCCTGACCCGCTCCGGTTGAGGCCACCAGTTGGGGTTTCCTCTCCCTTACAGTGCCTATGAGGTGCGGTTGAGGAATCACCCACCCAGGTGACCCTTTGATAGCTCAGGGAAGCCCTGGCGGGACCTACCCGGAGAACATCTGAGCTCCCAGTGGCCTTTATCGTGGACAGAGAAAGATGGGGTGACCCAGGGATGAGTCGGAGGAAAGCATCTGTCCGTTTGCATCACACGGTGCATTGACTGAGCTTGGCTGTCTCATTTGACCCCATAGCGGAGGCATGAGGGGTTTCTGTTGGGCACTGGGGAAATCCGTGGGCAAGAACTGGGGTGTTAACACCGTCTTTGCAACGCAACGCGTTACCTCAGTGGTTACCCACCCGCGTCAACCCAGTGTCTTCTCTTTTTCTTCCCCACGCTGGCTGGACTGTCCTCCTGCGCTCAGGAGCGGGTGACCTGACCGGCGACCCCATTGGGTATGTAACTGGCGTGCTGGCGGTGCTGGTGCACGCTGCCTACCTGGTGCTGATCCAGAAGGCCAGCGCTGACACAGAGCACGGGCCTCTCACCGCACAGTACGTCATCGCTGTCTCCGCCACCCCGCTGCTGGTCATCTGCTCCTTCGCCAGTACCGACTCCATCCACGCCTGGACCTTCCCAGGCTGGAAGGATCCGGCCATGGTTTCCATCTTCGTGGCCTGCATCCTGATCGGCTGCGCCATGAACTTCACCACCCTGCACTGTACCTACATCAACTCCGCGGTGACCACCAGTTTCGTGGGTGTGGTGAAGAGCATCGCCACCATCACCGTGGGCATGGTGGCCTTCAGCGACGTGGAGCCCACCTCTCTGTTCATTGCCGGGGTGGTGGTGAACACCCTAGGCTCCATCATTTACTGCGTCGCCAAATTCATGGAGACCAGAAGGCAGAGCAACTACGAGGACTTGGAGTCAGAGCCCTCAGAAGAACCACAGCCTAGGGGGGACCAGCTGCCATTCGTTATGGAGGAGCTGCCCGGGGAGGGTGGAAATGGCTGGCCAGAGGTTGGGGAGGAAGCAGGTGGCTCCACTCAGCAAGGTAGGCAAGAGGCGAGGGGCAGCGGCAGAGGGGTCTCATTGGTGGCTAGGAACTCAAGAATAGAAGGTTGCTCTGATGAAGCAAGTAGGAGGTCCTTAAAGGATGCTTACTTGGAAGTGTGGAGGCTAGTGAGGGGAACTAAGTATATGAAGAGGGATTATTTGATAGAAAACGAAGAGTTACCCAGTCCTTGAACAGGACATGCATGTATGTACATATGTACATACAGTTATTTTAGACGATAGAAAGAACGCCTCCAGTTTTATTCCGAGGAGTGGGGGAAGGGAAGCAAAGTAAAGTTGAAAAGTACTGACAGCGACAAAGTTAGCATCTATGTGAATTATTTAGTGGGACTTTACCTGAGGCGCCACAAAAGAAAGGACATGGGCAGGTGCTTAACAAAATCAAAAACAGTTTCAGTTTCAGACTCACTAACATTTGTTTTTTGTCTTTATACCCATAACCAAATATCTGCATGTCCCAAGAGTTCCTCAGCCACCCCCTCCAAAGAGGCATGTAGAAATGATGACAGCACTTAGTAAGTTCAAAGACCACATTCAAAGGCACACTTTTGATGATAGTTAAAATTACAGTTTTTATTGCCTGCTGGACAGAGTATATTGTTGAGTGGCATCTATAAATACTCGGAATTGTTTACTGTTCTGGTCATCTGCAATATCACGTTTACTTGGATTTTCCTTCATTTGTTTTTTAATGAGTGTCCTATTATTATTCTATTATATATTGATAGGAAATGTAGCTATTTTGAAGACATAAGTTCTTAGCTTCAAATTATGAAGTCTAAAGTTTGCAGTTTGTAATTATATATTATATTTTAAAGGCTGTTTGGGATCCTTGCTTTTTAATATTTATTATTGAGTGCTATAACCTTTTTAGAAACCTGTGTAATATTCTTTCAAGCAAGTGCAGTGCTAGATATAATTCAGTTTTGACTGCAGCACAGCTGGAAGAGACAGACCACTTCACAAGGCAACCCAAGTTACAATGCATACCCCAAACTCTGTTACAAAAAGAGCAACTGCTATATTCACATTATGATATTTTTCTATCTTAAATTTGTCAAAATAAAGTATGTCTATCTGTAAAGAGAGAAACTGTTAAAATTTGTTTTAGACACATTTGTGTTCTGTTGTGTAGTTGGAAATTGCCTTCTATGTGTGGTCCATCTGGTGTATTGGTGCCAACCTACTGGGAACTTCTTTTCTTTTTTCTCATTGTGTAGCCAAGGATGACTTTGAGCTTCTGACCCTCCTGTCTTTATCTCCTTAGTGTTGAGATTACAGGCAAACACTACCCTGTCTAGTTTATTTAGTGTACGCTACCAATTGATCTATACCCCTGGCCCCCATTTCAAACGTTCCAAATTACCCATAGCAATTGGATTTTTTAAAAAAGTTCCAGTGAAGGAAACTATGATGAAGTAAAACATTGTCTCAGGCTGAGGAATGAAAGTCACCCACACCAGACTTCAATGCATAGGGAAATTGAGATAGTAAATGGTGGTATCCACAAAAGCAGAGGCCTCCTGTTACCTCCTACAGGGGAGGAACTTTGAGGCCCAGGCTACTCTCAGTTGTCAGCATGTTCCTGAGAGTCTCAGATGGTGGCATCTTTCATATTTCTTTCATTTACAAAAATCAAAACAACCTAGAAAGCAGACGCAGACAAGAAGCTTCTCCTCGGTCAGTTACTCTCTAGAAGCTGGCGAGTGCGTGGAATTGTGGTTTGTGATTGGTCCTGCTTTACTGCTTTTCATAGGCAATCAATTGCTTCCATGGGAGACTCTATAAGCTACAGAGATGCAGGAACCCTAGCATGGCAACAGTTAGAAGTGGATGACCAGAATTACAATGGCTTTTTGAAAAGCATTATAGCATTAATTTTGACATTGGCATGCTAGAGGGCAGTGTCCTATTGCAACAACACAGAACTGAGAATTAATGAAAAACAACAAAGTTGAACTGAGTGGAGTTTTTCTTTTTAAACCATTGTCAAGTAAATGGATACAATAATAGTTTTTGGTTGAACAAAATTCCCCTTTGGTTACAAATGTGAGTTTGGATTTATTGCAAAAAGATGAACTTTACTGCCAACAAACTTGAAGAAACATTTTAGAGTTCTCTAGAAAAACAAGACACACACACATGCAGAGAGAGAGAGATCTTAAAGAATTCATGGTTGTTGGGGAGGCAAGTCTGAAATCTGTAGGATGGGAAACTCAGGCAGGTTCCCTATGCTGCAGTCTTGAGGCAGAATTCCTTCCAGAAACCTGTCTTTGTCCTAAGACTTAAAACTGATTGGAATAGGCCTATTCATGTTATCAAGAGAGGAATTTTTTTTTTACTTGAAATTCACAGGTTGGTTGTAAAAGTTAATTGCATACTAAAAATGTCCTCAGGGCAATATCTAGACATCTATTTAATCAGATAGCTGGGCATTACTGTCCAGTCAATTTGGAGGTGATCATAATGATCAGACAAGAAAACCCCAACAGACCAGTAACAGAAGTTCTGTCACACTCTTTATTTAGAAAAAAGTCAGGAGTCTCTTCCTAGAGCAAGGAAGTACATTACAGGGCTACAAGTCAATGCTGGGACTAGTCTACTAGGCACCAGCTGCTGGAGGGACAGACTTGGTTTCCAAGCATCCTCCACTGTTGGCAGCTTCTGAATCCAAAAAAGGACTCAGGTGCACCCTGACTTCTGCACTCTGGTGACAGCTTGCCTCAGGCAGGAAGCAGGGTATCACTGAAAGTGGGGCACACTGGAGGTTCCTTGGCATTATTGCTTGGCTGGCCCAGACTTTGCACCCATCTCTGACCACTCAGATTCTCTCACTATTCTGAGATAACATCCTTACTTTGTACCCAGTTGGAACTTGCCCTGACAATTGTTCCTAGAAGTTCTTCAGGAGGAATGCTCTGTCTCACACTCCCCTGTTACTTCACTGTAACTATTCTTTGCAACACAGCATGGTGTCATACTGAATTTCTTTGCTGGCTACCTTCCTCTGAATGCAATCTAGCCCTCAGTTAATGATCGTGGTGCAGGCCCATCAGAAATAAGAGAGCAGAATGGCCAGGACTGCACAGAGGAGAGGGTGGGTACATATTATTGGAGGATGCTAAGCACAGCAGAGAGTGACCTAAACTCCCAAAAGACCAGCAGTCCCGTAGAGTTGTTACTCTTTGTTACAGGGTCTAATTCTCTAGGCCATTAATGGCAATGATCAGAAGACAAAGGCAGGAGAAAGTTATAAATCCTAACTGATGAAAGCGGGATTTATTTATTTATTGGCATTTTGAGAGGTCATTTACTTATTTTTGGAGATTATTTGTGGATTTTATTTTGATTTTTCTGAGATAGTACTTTATGCAGCTCAGGCTACTCTTGAGTTCACTATGGAACTTAGTCTGTCCTTGAACTCCTGATCTTCATGTCTCCACCTCTCAAGTGCTGGGATTACAGGCATGTACCACCATACCTGGCTTTCAGTTTAGGAATTTTAAAATTAGTTAATTAATTACATTTTATTTTATGTATATGTGCTTTGCCTGCATGTATGTAAATGCACCACATGCATGCAATACCCTCAGAAGTGAGAAGAGGTTGTCAGATCACCTGGTACTAGAGTTACAAAAGGCTATTAGCCATCATGAGGGGGCTGGGAACAGAATCTCAAGCCTGGATCCTTTTAATTGCTGAGCCATCCCTCCAGTCCCCAGCTTAGAAAATTTTTTATGTATCCATCCTTAAGAGCACTGATTCTTTTCTTGGCTGAGTTCAGTCTGCTGATAAGCCAGCCAAAAAAAATTCTTCATTTCTGTTTAGCTAGGTGTTTCTGTTTTTCAACTTTAAGCATTTCTTGTTGACCCTTTCTGTGTTTTCCTCTGCTTATAATACCTGTCTGCTCTTGCATGCTGTCTGCTTTTTACACAAACAACATAGTTATTTGAATTTCCCTTTTTGATCATTCCAAAGCCCATGTCATATCTGAATCTAGTTCAGATAGCTATTTTATCTCTTTGGAGCCTTCTTTTCCATTTAGCATGTCTGTTGGGTTGATGTGACCAACATCTATTCATCTCAGATAGGGCACTGGCAACAGAGCCAATGATTCCACCACCAGTCTATCTTGGTAAACCAATGAATTTATGGGGTTCCTTACAGAAGCATGGGTGAAGGGTTGCTGACAAGAGTATGAGTGACTTAAAGGCAGTTGCATCATCAAAAGACCCACCCAGCATGGGTGATGACTCACAAAAGTTGCATCCCTAAAACTGCTCAATTTGCAGGCAATGCCTCTAAAAGGTCTCCTCTCCCCTAACAATTACTTATTATTTACATAACTTCTGGGAGGGACTGCGTGAGTCTTATAACTTCCTTATGAGTTTCAGGTGCCTCCCTACCTTCCCTCAAGGAGGGACTATTTCAAATTGGAGGAAATAGCTAACCTATACCTAGTGATTTTCTTGATGTTGAAAGCCAGATGATATATATGCTGGAGGATAGGAACTGAGGCAAATAGACCTCTAAATAAGAAGTGTCATGTTAGTGGGGTTAGAAATTGGGCTCTGTACTTTGTACTATGCAATCATAGTGCTAGAGACCTAAGTTCCACTGTGTTTGTTTTCTCTCTCCACTGTCTTCAGCTCTTTCAGTTGCAATATAGGTATTATATTGAGTCCATGTAGGGACGGTAATAAGGGGTGGAGGAAGGGATGTGTTCTACAATATCTATTGTATGTTTAAATTGATATGTAAAGACCAGGCATACTTATGGGGTAGAGCGTAGTAATTCTATACATTTATACAATGTGTAATGACCACATCAGGCTAAATGACATTTCCTTCTCCTGAAACATTTGTCATTTCTTTGTGTTAAGAAACTTCAAACTCCTCTCTTGTAGTTAGTTGTAAAATGTATAAGTTGCTGTGAACCATAATCACCTGATGTATTGCAAAGCATTAGAACCTAGTCCTTTATCTAATTATATTTTGGTTTGTATTAATCAGCCTCCTTCTTTCTCTCTTTATCTTCTTCCTAGCCCCTAGTTACCACTATTAAGTTCTCTAGTTCTATGAAACCAGCTTTTTTGGCTTGCGAATATGCATCAGAACATGTGATAATTATCTTTCTGAGTCTGGCTTATCTCATTTACCTTAATGTCCTCCAGTTCCACTCAGAGTGCTGTAGACCACAGGATTTAATTCTTTTATGGCTACATAGCATTCTAGTAAGGATATGTCATTTTTATACAGCACCCATCCATCATCCATGCATGCATGCATTCATCCAGCTCTTCATCCATCCATCTACTTATCCATTATCTATCCACCCAGCCAACCATCTATAAACCAATCTATCCACCCACCCATCCACCATCATCTATCTATCCATTATTCATCCATCCATCCATCCATCCATCCATCCATCCATCATCTGTCTATAAATTCATCAGCATCCATTCATCTATCCTTCCATTCACCTAAACATTGAATCCACATCTTGGCTATATATTCTTATTGTCTCATTCTCTTAGGTTGTACCTTTTACAAGTGTTTCTTGGCCTCTTCCCTCCCCTGAGAAAGCAAGAGGATCTTAAGATGGGGAGAAAGACCTTTTCCCAGGGTGGGAGAGGCTCTGTTACATCTTTGCCCCTGAAGAGTGGATCTTTGTTGTGGAGAGTACGCTTTGTATATTTCACAAAAAATCCTCTTCCTGAAGGCTGGGGGATTTTTCACAATTCTTTTCCACAAACAGGATTCCTGGATGTCAAATCTATGAAAAAAAAAAAAACCCTAAGACTGTGGCACCCAATTGCTTCTCACTCTTATTTCAGTCTATAGACAGCCAGACCAATCCAGAAATTTATTAAAATTCTCATTTATGTGTTTCTACCAATTTGTAGCTCCAGTGAGTTCTGATTCAGGTATGGAGTTCTGCAACTTTCTGCATTCATCTGACTAGTCAGAGTTAGGGAGTGGTGATTTGCATAAGTCATGGGCTCCA